TTGGCCTTATGGAGCTCTCAGGAGAACATGAGTAAAACCACGCAGTCTAAAACCACAAAAATGTCTAAATGTTTGATTTGAAACTATTTTTGATTTGAAACTAAACTATTTTTTAAAATGTAAAAATTTATCAAATGTAAAAAATGTTTTGTAAAAAATTAACAATTTTTTTTTTTTTTTAATATTTCAGTTTTCATTGTACTTTTCTTGCCAAGTTAATATTATGTTAACTTCCTGTTTTTTGTTCTGATCAGGTGGTGAAGAACTTACTTTATGTGGCCAAAGTGATCTACCTCATCTCACCAGAGTCTGATCCCACAAATCCAGCTGAAGAACAGGAGGATGAGGAGAAATAAACGACGGATAACATGGAGGAGAATGAAGGGGAAGAAGAAGAGGAAGATAAGAAGCAGGAGCTTGAGGAGCAACAGAATGAGAACAAGCCTCCATCTCTCCTCTGGGTGATGAAGAAGCTTTCATTACTGGCCAAAAGAGAAGCAGCAGACACGCCGAAAGTACCTTTGAAGGTGGGCGTTAAATCAGTCTTTCTGTTTATGCTTGACTTCTCTGAATGATACAGATGGATCGCTGGTAGGAATGTCCTCTAAATATGAGGATCTCCAGCTCAGGGATGCGAGTTAAGCAAAGGTTTGCAAAGTTAAACAAGTTTTTCAGTTACCGTTTTCTTTCTTTTTTTTATTTTTTAGAGAACTTGTGTTTTTAAGTTCTTGGGAGCCATAGCTGTGGATCTCGGAAAAGATCGACTTGGGCCGTATCTGACCACTATCATCGCTCCTCTCTACAGAGAGCTGGACAGCACATACGCAGACCAAGGTCAGTTCACACCGTCCTTACAGTAGAAACAGACAAACCCTACATGGAATGAAGAGTTTTGTCATCTAGGAAAAAAATCACGACGCACAATTGGGGGGGGGGGAATCTAAAACCTTGACTAAAATGTATTTCAGTTAAAAAAATATATATTTATTTTAGGTTGTTGATGCACAGTATATCTCAGTCAGATTAACTTTATAACCTCTAAGGCCTCTAAATGATCAAAACTTGAAAAACCTGCTGTGCATAGTATACTACAGGCCTTCTGTCATTTGATTGATAGTTTATACTTGTCAGCAAAAGGCCTTTTAGCATAATTGTAGAAATATCAACCTTCAGGTCGTACGACATGTGTCTTTTTGTTGTGAAATCTTTACTGATTTTGTATGAAGTAAACATATTAACAACTTTTATATTGTTAGTAGAATAGTAGAAGACGAACATTTACTGGACTTAAACAACTTAGGTTTATTTGATTATACATAATTTTTTAGAAAAATCATATTAAACTGTAGAGCTTTGATCCTAAATCTATGCATTAAAATATTATATTACTAAGACATTAGTCTTTAGCGCTAAGCTATGATTTATGTCAAAGATCAAAATTTCATCTTATATTTTGCCCATATAAGTCAGCGACTGCATCAAATTTCTCAAAATTGTCTAAATAAAATAGAATTGAGGTGTTTTTTTTCCTTCTGGAGTGTGAGCTCTGTATTCTCACTATATCATACAATATGTGCCATAAAAGTCAAACATGATACAGACTTATTTCATGGGTTTTTACAGGGTTAAGCTGCTTTAGATTCATTTTTGAACGCAAAATAGAAATGAAAACTAAATTAGAATGTCACAACTAAATGCATATTGTGACAATCTCAATCATTGACGATGTGGGTGAAACTGACATTTCATTGATCTTTTGCTCTTGTTTCAGACCCCACACTAAAGAATCTGGCTCAGGAGTTGATTGAGTTGTTGAAGAAGCTGGTCGGTCTGGAGCGATTCTCTCTGGCTTTTGCCGCAGTGCAGAAAGAAGCCACTCAGAGACGAGCTTCACGCAAGAAAGCCAAAGCCATACAGGTAAAACATGTTTCTAAATGCTGCTCAAATCAAGCTGCTCAAGTGTGTAACTTGTTCTTCTAGGCTTCAGAGACAACTATAAAGAAACCATTTGTTCGTTAATTTCCAGGTTACACATCTTTATAACTAAAGTAAAAATTAAATGGTAATTCTATTCATGATTTCCCTTGACAGACTGTTGTAAATCCTGACATTGCTGCCAGAAAGAAGGTAAAGAAGC